TGTTTGAGATGATATGGCTACTCTCAAACATAAAGTGTACTAGACTTTATAAGGATATCAAAATAGTCAAAAGTCTGTATTTTGACAAAAGAATTTCATAATTTCCTTTTTTTTTTCTTATATTCATTTTTAACCACCAGCCTTTATGTGATTAAAATACTTCATGCATCAAATAATTGAGATGCAAAACACACTTTATAAAGGAAATTCTCTGAAATTTAAATGTAATCAATCATACTAATGTTGACCTTATAATATGAGATAAATGGACATAAGTGTAGTGCACAAAATACTACATAATTCCAAATAACAATAGAAACATGGAGGCAAACTCATATTGAAATCATGCCTTCAGATATTTATCTCATAATAAGGTAGCAAAGATTCAATAAACCACTAGATCCATTCATATAAAGTCAACCAATTATCTTGCATAGATTAATATGATATTAATCTTTTGATTGTTGAATATAATAACTCTTTATATGTTTCTCGAATTGTTATATTGTATTGATAATAACAATCAATACATATAACCCTTGCAATCACAAATATGTAAGTCCAAGAAACATTCAAATTACTTGCAATCATACCAGATTATTGGAGAAAATCTGGATGAATTGCATAACCAAATAAGGTATCATATGAATGATACATATACATAGGATTAGTCAATAAATCTCAATTATTGAGAAAATAGACCATAGATCCCATGGCAAATTAAATTCGATTCGTTTAAACTTGATACGAATCTCTAAAACTTTTATCAGATTGCCAATAAACCATGAAATTATAAGCTAAACAACATGGTTAGAGGTTGGCTCTGATACCACATGTTAAACTAACTATGTACATGTGAATGTACTACGTAGCGGAAATTTAAATATACTTACCTCTAACCATTGTTGTCAAGTACAAGTTGATCTTTTCTTATATCTTTGATTTCTTCTTGTCTATTCTAACAATATAAAATATGTAGAAGAAGGAAAAGTAGAAAGAGAATTTAGAGTAAGGATCTTCTAGCCTATGCCTAACCCAAAAGTGTACAATTGATGGAATACTACAGGCTATTTATAGGATAGGCTAGGGACCCTTACTGACAAATACAAAAATCCCTAGGGTTTCCTTCCATCAAGGAAATCTTGCCAAAATTCATAACTGAAATTAATATTTTCTGACCAATTGATTGATTAACTGATTGAATAAGATATCAATTGACAATAGATATCAATCAATCACTAACAAATGGAATATACTAATTAATTATTGACAAAATGTCAATCAATTAATCAAGATACCAATCATCAATCATTGCCTAATGGGAGATACCAATTAATTGTCAATCAATTAATTAGAATATCAATCAATCATGTGGGTCATAATTTGCCTCTAAAGGAGGTAAGTCTTACAATCTATTGTAGAAACGTCTCATGAAAGATAGTTTTCTTTGGTAAATAAAGGTTTCTGTTAACACACAAACTAAAAAGATGAGCAACAAAACTATGAAACGATCTGAAAAATGCTAAAGTCAACTCAAAAGGCAAGGAGTAAAAGGAGGAGACCAAGAAAAAAAAATCAGGAATTGATGAGCATGCCAATATTAATCTGTGAAGTAATGTATGTTGATTGAGTATTTCATTTTCTCTTAGTTACAATTGATCTTCTACAATAAGTTTATAAGGTTACATAAGCATTCATTCACAAACAGCATTTATTTCTTCCTAGTACAATATTAGAAAAGCACTAGTAAAATGAATATTAATAGCCAATGCAACATTTCGCTGTAAATTCATGTCCCCATTGTTCATCTCAAAGATAGTTGCAGAGAAGCATGCAGAAGGTGTAGGAAGTTTAGCTGATGTTATTGGTGGCATAGCGGTCACTTTGGAGGCTGGCTGAAAAGTGAGTAGTATGCTCCATTTGGACCTTTAGCCATCAGAGAAGAATGAGTCCCTTTCTCTACTACTTTACCTTTGTCCAAAACCGCTATTATATCACAGCACTGGATTGTACTTAGCCTATGCGCTACAACCACACTAGTCCTTCCCACCATCACTCCCTCAAGTGCACCCTGTAGGAGCTTTTCTGATTGACTGTCAAGTGCACTTGTTGCTTCATCCAACAATAATATTGCTGGATTTTTAAGTATAGCAACAATGGCAATACGCTGCTTCTGACCACCAGATAGCTGCAATCCCCTGTCCCCGCACCATGTATCATATCCGTCCTGCAATGCTGCAACGAAGTCCTGAGCATTGGCAGCCTTAGAAGCCACAATGATCTCTGACTCGTTTACATCCTCTGATGCACAATATGCTAGATTTTGGCGTATGGTGCCTTCAAATAATGGGGGCTCCTGGCTAACGAGTGCTATGTGTCGTCTTGAACATCTTAAGTGATATGATTTTATATCTTGACCATCAATCATCACAGTTCCTCCAAGTGGACTATAGAACCTCTCAATTAAGCTGATTATGGTTGACATTCCTGAGCCACTTTGTCCAACCACTGCTGTTGACTTTCCTGCCTCAAATGTGAGTGAGAATCCTTTGAAAATGATGACGTCCTGCCTGGCAGGATATGCGAAATCAACATCTGTTAGTGTGGCTTTAGTCCCACATCGCTAATAGCAAAGGAATTCTTTCCTTTGCTACTTATAAATATAGGGATCCTATGATAGGATTAAGTGCACCACTCAAGAAAATATTATATGGGTTATTAGCTTTTTGAGTGCACTACTCAAAGCCCAAGAAGCTAATAGCTCATATAATACTCTCTTGAGTGGTGCACTTAATCCTTAGGACACCTGTATTTATAGGTAACAAAGAAAAGAATTTTCTTTGCTATTAGCGATTTGGGACTAAAACCGCACTAACAACATCATGCAACTCAAGTTACTCAGCATGGCCTATGATCTTTTCAGTCATGTGGCCTTTTCGGTCTTCAGGATCAATTTGGGAGTACCGGTCCTGAATTGCAAATACATACCTAACTGCATCTGAACCTGCAGCTAGGTCACTAGTCATTGTTCCTGCATTAGCAATGCAACGACCAGTGCTTATCAGCATCAAAAGAGTTTGGAAAAGTGCTTTTGCTCCTAGATAGCCATCGGCAATGAGTTTACCCCCGTACCAAGAATCAAGAGCCCACGTTAATGTCAACAAACTAGAGGATACCCCAAGCACAATACCAGCAAACCATGATTGGCGAATACTTTCTTGTCGTGGTCCTTCTTGTGCTTTTTCGAGCATATGGAGAATTCGGGCTTGGCAGCTGAAGGCTGTGACAGTTCGAATATTGGTGACAGCTTCTGCTGCAAGCTTACTACTTTCTTCGTGAGCTTTAATGGCCTTTTTTGACATGATTTTCAGGAGAGCAAACATACCATAATCGCAAAAAATGAGAAGGGGTTGAGTGGCTAGTATCACCAACGCAAGCCTCCATGCAATAACAAGGCCCAAGGTGCATGCAATGGCCATTGCCGAAAAAGCATTGATGAGTAGCCCCATGCGATCACCCGCTATTGAGTAATGACCGCACCTGTGCATGCCAAGTAAACGTCACTTAGATACGAGAGTTCAGCTACAGAATGTGCATTTTTTCCAACAGGTAATGCAACAAAGTTGTTCTTTTCAGTATATTTTCTAACTTGTATCTTAAAATGAGTCATTTCTTAATGATTAGTTCAAAGAGAGCTACAGGGTAACATGTTCCAAGTATACAGATTTGCACAGTTTCCATTCAAGCCTGGATTGGTTCAAGCCTGTAGCACCAGACTAATAGGATTTTTTTTCTCCATTTTGGTTGGACATCTCTAGGATAGTTCAGAAAATAGTTTTCCATAGTGAACCTTGGTTCTGTTCAGCACTATATGGCATGAGGACAATAAGACCAGCATAGTGATAATTAGCCTGTTTTACAGGCAAATCATCTAAAAGTGAGCATTGAAGGCTCACTGTCTTCATGAAGTCCTCCAAAATAAATCTAGTAAATTATGGATTTCAATAGATATTAGGATAACTGGTTTTAAATAAAAATATATGTTTCATTTTGAACAGGCGAAATGGATCCTTAAATGAACTAGACCAATAGTCGAAAGTTTCAAACATAGACTTGGTTGTAACAAATCTAAACTGGTTTATCATGTAATCAGAGCCAACACTGAGTAAGCCATTGTTACAAGATTAGATTCAATACTCAAAGCTGCATTAAATGATGTTTCCCAGGGAAGAATCCTACTTACCACATTGGTATCATTGGCTAGTCTGGAGCAAACAACACCAGTTGTGTTCTCATCCTGATCAAACCACCCAATTTCAAAGCTGAGCATCTTGGCAACCATCATTTCTCGGATTCTGTTGGTCAAGTGCTCCCCCATTGATGCAAAATTATAATGCTGGCATATGTTTATAAACACTGAGAACAATGCAAGCCCCACAAAGCACAAGGCATATACTTCTGTCTTCTGCTTGATCTCTTTATGATCCGTCAAAAAATACACTGATATCATCGACCCCATGGCACATGCATAAGATGGTTGAATTGCACCAAATAACATAGCACTTACACATCCCGCTGTTGCCTGCCTCCATTCAGGAAAATTAATTGCCAGTAGTCTTCTGAATGAGGGTACTGAAAAAACTTGATCACTAGAACTTGTTCCATTGTCTGCTCTATGGCTTAGACAATTCATTAGACAATCTAACATTATTATGCATTTTTTTTTCAACAAACGATAATATCTTTATATATATTAACACTTGATAATACAAGGATTAATTACAAAAGGGGGCAACAGCCCCTCCATCTATTCTATTTGCTTCTATCAACCAACTTGGGAAGTCATTTACCCAATCTATGTCATTAATTAGCTTTGATGCAAAAAGTGCTAGCCTATGACTTGCTATATTAGATGTTCTAGGCACCTAAGATATTATGCAGTAATCAAAATCTAGTGTTAGATCCTCAATGTCTTCCAAGATGGTTGCTAGAATCCCATCCTACACATTGTTGCATCTGATGTAGTCTGTGGCCATCTTGCAATCTGATAGGATAGCTATCTTCCTCCAGCCTACTTCGCGTGCCATTTGGAGAGCTAATCTAATAGTTAATGTTTCCTCCATTAGAGCTTCACCCTTCTTTCTTTCTACTACTCCCTTTGCTCTTATAATCTTGCCTGTCCGGTGCCTTGCAACTATTCCTTTTCCTGTTCTGATCATCCTTGCATTGAGTGCAGCATCTGTACTGAATCGGATGATTCCTTCTACTGATGGTACCTTTACCTGTTCCTTCTGATTCGCAGCCATTCCTTTCTGTTTGGTAGCTCCTTCCTGCTGTAACACCTCTTCATATTCGAGCCATTCTTGTTGTGCTCTCAAAACTATATCTCTTGCTTCACCCCTTTGCTGTTCAAAAACCACATTGCCCCTTGCTTTCCAAATCTGCCATAGGATGTTTACTGTCAAGTTGATATGCTTCATCCCATCTTCCTTTGATCCTGTCTGAGCTACCACCTCCCCCCATCTCCACAAATTACATTGTAAGTCTCTCAGCTTCTCCCATCTAATCGGTGCTAGTTTCCACACTATTTGGGCTCTTGGGCATGTGAAGAACATGTGTTCAACTGTTTCTACTTCTTCCCCACAAATTGTACAGATCTTGTCCCCTTTACCAGTTCTTTTATAGATAGCCTCTTTCACAGCTATACCTTCCTGCAAACACTTCCAGTGAAGTGTTTGAGTATGTGCTTTAGATTCAGTTTCAAAAGTTGTTTCCAGATGCTATGCTTCCTAATTTCCCAGCTTGTTAACATTATTATGCATTTGATTTTAAAAAAATTGACATATTATTAATTAGCTTAGATGATTTTATTCTCCATTATGAATGTTAGACTTGGGTTTTATCCCCGATTAGACTTGGGTTTTATTCCACCAATCGGGGATAAAACCCAATCCCAACATTGAAAATTGCGATTTAATCCCTGTTTACTTCCTCTACAGCTATGCACAGTTTTGGAACAGAGGGACTAAGATGAATCAAGCTTAATCAAGAAAGATGCAAACTAAAATACACTTAGCTGATTAGCCAATACATTTTTTTTTCTTAGAGAGAGAGAGAGAGAGGAATAGCTGTAGCACTTAGCAGTCTTGTGCAATGTTAATTGGAATTTTATTGTCTGAATTTCTATCTAAATAGTGTATAAATTACAAAGTTTGTATGCTAATTAAAATTAAATTTACAAAAAACAAAAAAAAAGGGTGAGAGAAAAGCTTAATTGAAATTACATGTGGTCTCCTGTCCTTTCTCCTTTATGATTTTAACTCCATAATTTATTATTTAAAAAATGGCCTGATATCATGCAAGTGGTTTTCTCAAAATTCAAACCCACCCACCCCCTAAAAAAGAATTTCTGATTCAAGAAATGAAGAACAAAGCAGGAGATTCTGAGAAAGTGAACGCATAAAACGATAAGCAACATGCATATATCTTTTTCCTTGTCAAAGATGCCGTATGAGTTCTTGAGTGCAGAAATGGAGATTAATCAGTTATTATGGTAAATTATTCAGTGCCACAATAGATAACCAATAATATGATATAGAAATAAACCATCAAACCGATTTCAAAGTATAAATTTTTTACAAAATTGGTGGTATTTTTAAATTTTTTTGGCAATCAATTGAACCTTCATATGAGTTGGCAAAAAACGTGCATGTATCGCTTGAGTTTGCTACATATTCTCTGATATGACTATGTTTATACATCAAATTTGAATGATTAACCAACAACTAATCAAACAAAATTTAGTTTAGATTTTTCTTTGTTATTTTTTCTCACACACACACACACATATATATACACACACACACACACACTCGTACAAGTTAGGAGAGCGGAGAAATGGACTATAACAAAGCTAGGAATAGTAGTCGTACATTTGTACAATGGTAGTACATTGCCGTAAGAAAAGTGTATAGTTAGAATTTTTTAAAAATAAATCTTGTGAGTTAATGATTATTGGATAACAACTTATATTTAATTATCTTGGTACCAACAGCTGCTAAAAAATATTCTTTTAAATAATTTGTTCAAATTGAAAGATTTTTCTTAAATCCCAAAAAGTAAATATCTGATCGACAGTTACGAAATCAGCTTTTCCAATTGGAAAAAAAAATCTAAAAAAAAAGGAAAAAGACAGATAAAATAACTTGTATCCCTTTCTTTTTGAACATGGATTCAAGCTCTCCCTTTTCACGAAATAATTTGTATCCCCTTCTTTTTGGAGCATGGCAGCAAAAGATTTGAAAGTAAAATTCAGCATTTCCTTTTAAACGTTCTACCTGGGCAAAGTTCTTTTAATATGTTTATCTAAAATTTTACTATAAACAATAGTTGTTCTATAAAAAAAGGTTGGTATTTGTGCAAAACACACTATTTTTAGAAAACACCCTTTCCCCTATCCCCCTCTACTCGCTATCCATCACTGGCAACCTCTACCATTCACCACCAATGCCTACTTCTGTCACCAGTACCCTACTTTATGTATTTTTTTTTTTGGGTGTTTTTAAAAAATTTGTGGTGTTGTAGAGTGTTGCGATGGATGTTTAAACAAACTTTATTTTTCTAAAATGAGTCAAAAATATATGCCATCCAAACAGACCATCCAAATAGTGAATATATTCAAGAACCCACAAAAAGTGATGGAGAAAAAGTGTAGTTATAAAAACCTGAAGAGTAGTACCCAAGTTGAACTCATCATCACCCTGTAAAATGAGACGGATATGTGATTTTTTTTTTGTTTATTTGTAAGTTGGACTCATCATCACCTTCATATTCCTTGATTATTTAGTGTCATATACATCACCTTGATGATTCGCATCAAAATTTGTCACTTTTTTTTTCAGCATTACTGAGATAAGATAATATTGAAGATGCGATCCAAGCATACAGGTCAGTTTTGGAAGTGTGCTAACTGCTAAGTATGATGTTCATATATTGGTTGGCATTCTAGTTGGGATAAAAAACTTTCAACATTACCTCTACACAGTTACTATTGAAAAAGTCAAATATCAATTTTTTCTCAATATTTTATTTATATTATAACACATTTTTCAATCATTTTTTTTATTTTTCTAATCAACTTTTTATCTCATATACATTGTATAAAACATATTTATACTACAATAATTATTTCAAATAAACGCCTATCTAAGCATAATACTTAGATGATAACCATGAATATAACCATGGCATACAAAGATGTTAGTCCTCTATATTATACTCAAATAGGTTGGCTGCCCTAGATCTTTAGGTACATGGGAAAAACTTCCACTTCTAAATACTGGGGGACTTTTCATTAAAATCTTTTTTTTTTTTGGGAGTTCATGCCTTATTGTTATTGTTGTCTTCCCATGGAGCTCTAGTAGTCATGGCACAAATTTTCTTGAGAAACCATCTAACGTGAACTCAAAGCTAGATTTAGAGCCTAAAGTGTTCTGATTGCCAAAAGGTTGTCATCTAAGTAAATAGTTACATGCAGGACCAGAAAGAGTGTCAAGATTAAAGCCTTGTCTAATAACCTAGTTCAGCATTTTGTGATCTTTTGACAAAAAGCTTTGTTTGATTCATGCATGAAAACAGAACAAGGCACTATCTGGGGTGGCATTTGGAGGTGCAGTCTCGTTTAATGTCATCATAGCCGGGTAAAGATAACCTCAATTTAGATCACATTACCAATTCTTTCGGTCTCCTTCAAGAAAAAAAATTTTTAAAAAAAAAACTTGTAAAGGTGACTTGCTTTTTAATGAAAAATGCAGGCCCATCACTGGAGCTTCAATGAATCCTGGAAGGAGTATCGGAGCTGCAATAGCAGCTGGTGCCTACAAAAACCTTTGGGTCTACATCGTGGCACCCGTCCTTGGCTCCCTGGCTGCAGTACTGGTATACTGTCTCCTCCGACTGCCAGAGTCAGAAAAGGAAGAAACTAGCACCAATGTCAATCATAAAGATTTCTACTTTCATCATGATCTATGATTATGAATGAGATATCCCCTGATAATATTAATGAAGCCTGCAAAGAAGCCAAAGGCATATGGCAAAATGGATTTTGATCAGTAGAATGGGAATTTCTATTTTTTTTAATTATTACTAGTAATGTTGTACGTGTTAAATGTAGTTTGATAATTTTGTATTGGTTTTTATTGTTTATACCAATCCAATCTAATAAACGTAGAATATTTTTAGAAGGTTTGTAAGAAATCTATATAATTTTGGTACAAAAGTTACCTATTCGTTTTTTGAGGAAGTTTTTTTTTTTTTTTTTTTTTGGCCTTTCAAGCAAGATAGTTGCATAGACAATATTCCTTGTTATGAGAATTATCTTCTTTGACATGCGTATAATTTCACAAAATCAATTCAATTTCATTGTTGACATTTGCATAAAAAAGTGTTTGTTTTGTTGACACTTTTAGTTGAGAGCAAGTACGACTTATTGTATTTCCTAATTTTGTGATGATATCATCAAATATGTAGCTTAAACTCTTTTTCCCTGATATTTTTTTTGGTTATAACTTAGAAATGGTAATAAAGTGTACAATATAAATTAAAAGATAAATATGAAAGTATATATTTTCTCACCAAATCATCAACAAAACTAATTTCTATTAGTGTTCTAGATTTTTGTTTTCCAACATAAAGCTCAATATTAAATTTTCATAATAGAAAGACTCAAATTGTCCACATCTTTTTATCCAACTTTAGTGAATTTATCAAACCACCGTCATTTTCTCCAACACCAAAACTCTCGTTGTTTTTGTCGTCCATTCCATCTCTTCGGTCACCTGCCTGATTCAACTTTTCCCTTGTTGGATCCTTAATCTAACGTTAGACTTATATGTGAATAATTATGTGTTGTAAACTGTCAAATAAGGTTAAATTTAATTAAAGTGATTAATTATGAATTGAATTTTAATGTATCTAATAAGATGTGGGCTTTTAATGTGTAGAGACTTAAGGGTAATTTCTATGATGGGTTGAAATAAGAATATAAAAGATAACAAGAATGTTATCTATAAATAGAGTTATGGTCTCCAAGTCACATGTATTATTATTGTCGTATTTTTCTAGTACTACAAAATAACTCTTTCCTGATATCTTATCATCAGAAAAGATACCAGAGAGAAATTAAATGACTTTTTGAAGAATTGACAAATACGTGTTGACCTCGAAGGTCATCCCAAAATCTCTAAGGATTCAAATACCAGTTTGTCAATATGAATACACACTTTGATAATTTTGCTGTTTATTTATTTTTTAACAATCGCCATAAAGATTTTGGATTTAATAGGTGATAGTTTTCACCAAAAGTTAATATAAACTATCACCCTAACAAGTGATATCAGAGTAAGATATGGTTGATTATTAAGAAATAATTTGGTTTTAAATAATTCATAGTTTTCAAGTTTTTTTAAAGTAGAATTATTTTTATTTTGATTGTGTGGCGGTTGACAATCTTGAATTGTGAATTTAATGTAATTTGTTTGCTCATATTTTCAGTAAATTTGTACTGTCCAATTTATTGCTTTTGATTACATATGAATCCATGAGTTTACCGAAATCAATAATCATGATGCACAATCAAGTACACATATTTGGTTTGTTTGTTATGATTAGTTAGCACATGGTTCAAGTACACGTGTGCTTGTCTTGCTTAATTGTTAAATTTTGTTAAACTCTTGATATGTGGGCACAAGTCATGATATGTGGGATCCACATACTTTCCATGATATAAATTAACTTGATTTTTGGTTTCGAAAAGTTGTTCGTCTTTTTCATAGTTTGTTTTGTTAGTTTATTCATTCAAGAGTTTTGATTAACATAATATTTGATAGGGCCTGCATGATATGTAATTTATTAATATGTCAAGGAAATTAGGATTTCTTTAATTTAAGTGAACCCTAATAAAATTAAGTAAGACAAGGATTATGGATTTCAAGAAAATTTTGGGTTTAAATAATAAATTTGGATCAAGTTATGAATATGGGCTTTTGGTCCAATAAGTCTTGATCCAATTGACTGGTTTGACCAGGTTTGACCACGTTTTGATCAAAATTGACCAAAGTTGACTTTGATTAAATATTTTTTGTAATTTGTATAATTTTAAATTTGAATATTGATGTGATTATATGTATTTTGAAATAAATTAATTGAAACAATATGCCACCAAAGATACCTATATTGTGAAAATTAATTTATTTTAAAATATAATTAGTTGGGTACTTGTAATTTTACGAATATTGATTAGTCCAAAGGAAGATCAATGTTTAACAGAATTGCATATGCACTTGTGATGATAAACATGTGATAATTATTCGACTTTTTACATGTGAATTATAAATTGGCAAAAAAATTTATTTTTTAACATGTTATTATTGTCAGTACTTATTACTACGTCAACATATCAGTTAGAAGCTAATATTTTTGTCCAAAAATAAAATATTAATAGAATATCGGTATCTTGAGATAGGGTTATCATTATTTGAATTTATTATTATTTTGGTTTATGTGAGTTTGTTTTAATTATTTTATATTTCCTGTTCTATTGCGAATGATCTTACGAATATTACTATCAATATCAATAATATTTCTATGCTGATGGCACAAATTTCAAGTCTTGAAAAGAAAATCTCTTGATAGTATTTGAAATAATGGATCTCGACCTTAAGTTAAGGGATGATTCTCTTCCACGTCTTATAGATTAGAGTACCTCTGATGAAAAAGGCGATAAGGAAAGGTGGGAGGGATCAAATCGCTTGTGTTTGATGATCATTAAAAGGCCGTTTCAGAAACATTCAAAAAAATAATGTAAAAAACGTCAGTTATCGCTAAAGAATTCCTTCAGAACATTGAAAAAGATTTGTCATGAACAAAAAGACTGAAATTTGTACGCTCTTGATAC